CAAACAGCCAAAAAAGTGAAAAGTGGAAAATATTTTCCTACTTCCCCGAAAAATGTGGCCTATCAAACACGGCCTAAGAGTAATGCAATTCTTGAATTTTATGTAATGGTACACGTCCTAAAACTCTTGTTCTTTTTTAGGATCTTGAATTTTTTTATTACACTATCTCCTCAAGTTCCAGAGGATGAATTTGATAAACAATTCCACAACTTGTAGTGTCATTTTTCTAGGATCCGGAGGAAGACTAATATTTAAATTCATATTGTCACAACGAATTTAGATTGATACAATCACTTAGTGAGCTCGTCTTTGACTCATCTAGCAGTTTAGAGTTAGGAATCTAGATGTCAGCCTGTGGCGCTAACATGCCAATTTGCATCTTGAGACGTTCGTAAACTGTACCTTTAAACTGTCAACTCAAGTTTTTAGCCTATGTTTGGTTCAGCTAAAAAATATTGATTAAAATTTAAGTTAAAATACATATTTTATCAACTTTTATCAAAATCAACGACATATTAAACTCAGATTTACTAATTACTCTATAAAATAACTTGCAGATCTAAGGGGTGGGGGAGCTTAGGTATGAATTGGCCTACACGTTGGCACTGCCACCGCATGGTTTGCTTCCATACTAATCTACATCAATTATGCTACAGTACAAAGTTGGTTTACGAAAGTGTGTTCACAAAATGATGTGGCAAGATCTAGGTCATTGATTTTAAAAATTATTTTTTAAATCATTGGCTTAGATGTTGCCAACATGTACTTTGTAAACCAATTTTGTAAACTAACTTTGTACAAGTACCATGACTCACTATACATACTGCACCCGGTCCCACCTCCACATTGATCAGACTCCTTCATCACCATTGCATCTTTCTCCTCCGTTAGATTTTCTTCTGTTTTCGTATCATGTCCGGCAATTTCATGGTCTGATCATCATCATCAACAACAACAACTTCGTCTTCTGCATGCTCCTCCAGAACATCGTCGTCAAAGGGGATTAAATTCAGTACAAGCCTCCCATTGAACCTGCGCGCTTCAAAATACTCTTGGCGCTTCACTTTTCTTCTCTAATAATCAATCTCCCATCACTCGTGGAGTACCTTTTCATCACCCACGGCATGGGAGATGGAAAATTTCCAGTGCGCGCTGGCCAGGGAATCGACGGCAAATAAATTTTATCCGATGTATCTCGATGCATAATCAGCCGCTGATTGTTTAAGCAAATATTCCGGCCTGCGACATCCATATCAAGGTCATTTTTCATCTCAACACAACACTCCACCCCAATGTAATCATCCAATTCTAGATTTGGCATAATGGAAAAGGGGTTAATCCATTTGTACATAATGGTTTGTACATAATGGATTACCCCCTCTCACATAATTGCGGGATCTGTGTGTATTTAAAAATTTCGATAATGTGGTCTCCATCCCCATTGTGATTAGTAGGTAAAAGATTCGGTGAAAAAATTCGATACATGTAGCATGATCATGGAAAAGTAGAGAGTTTGACTGTGGTTGTGCATGGGGGTGGGGTTGTGTATATATAGAGATGTTCTCCTGTCCACAGTGGAAAGTCTTATAATGCCCACTCGGAGAGAACTTAACGTTGGATTCTCACATTTGGAGAAAACGCAACGTTGGGTTCTCGTGCCACATCAGCAGGTGGACAGTCCTATTCTGTCCACCGTGGGCAGGAGAACATTTCCTTGTGTATATATATTGATACAAATATATACTGCAGAATATTGAGAAGAGGGGAAACTGGCAATGACAGCTCATGTTGATCACCGATATTTACAAATTTGGATTTTTTAAAATTATAAATTTGGATTATCTCATTTTATATGGCAAAGATTTCTGCAAAAATGGGAAAAAATCAATTAGTTAAAATCGGTTCTTAAGGATAGAAAGAGATAATTGAGAGGTATTTTTCTTTAATATCAAAATTTTAATACATAAAATGGAATTGTGTAATCAATAGAATATGTGAAAAATTGATGTCGAGAACATAATTAATATGTGGATAATGTAGGTTTAACAATTCCAAAATCGTCAAAGATTGACAGATCAATTAAAATGTTTTTAAATACACAACCAATTCATTAATCCACATTTTTGCACTTAGCATTGATTTATTTGGAGAAAAAACAATCATAGTTTCATGGAAGTACATTTTTTGGCCAACGATCACAAAAAGTTACGATTATTTATCTGACTATATATAGATTACACAGCAAGAATATTTGCCATTAACAAACATAAATAGTAACTGTTAATGTAGAAAGAATTTTTTATATATTAGAAATTAAGGGCATGTTTGAAGTAACTTTTTCGAAATAGATTTCGTTATGTTTGGTAAAGATTTTTTTAAAAATAGTTTTTACTGTTATTTGACATAGATTATTCTGTTAGGTTTTTGATGTAATTGACAAGTCTGCGAATAAAAATGACTAAATTTAATATGTTGTAAAAGCCAAAGAGTAAGTTGCAAATAGTAGAAATTGAGTTATATTAGGTCTAGGGTTCAAGAATGGAAAAGAAGGAAAAACGACGCTGCAATTTCGCTAGACTGTCGCCATGACTTGGCTCGAGCGGCAAAAACGATAACATTGTAGCTAGCATGTCGCCAGGATTTCGCTCGAGCAACACATCGTCGCTCGATCTGTTGCCCAGCTTTCGCTTGAGCGACAGTGTTTTCCAAAAAATTTTAATTCGTGTTTTTAAACTTTTTTGTCCGCACATTCAACCCCAAAAACTAAATTATAAATACCAAACGCTTCTGAATGGTTTCGACAAGGTTGAATATTGATAAAACATTGGTTGCTTCATATTCTCTCCATCGATAGCTTTCAACTTTCATTAATTGCTTTGTTATTGGTATCGAAAATATCAAAACTACTTAATCCAAATACCAAGTTCCTTCTTCCTACATATCGTCAGAGTGCTGAAGATCAAGGGAAGGTGACTGGAGTTCCAGTTATTGAAGAACGCGGAGTTCTTCGTTGATCCACAAGAGATAGACGAATTCATAAAGTCGGGAGTTGCTGCAGGAGCGCGCAATCCAGGAGGACTTTGAAAATTGTAGCTGGGAGTTGGTACAGAAGCACGCAATCCAGGAGAGCTGTGAAATTTGCAGTCAGGAGGTCAGAAAGTACTAGTAGTAGTCGTGTCTGACGGACTGTAAGTTCATAATTCGTTAATAGTGGATTTCTGACGGCAAAGTGCCTGGAGTTTTTACCCAATTGGGGTTTCTCCGTGATCATTCCTTGTATTTGTTTATTGCTTTCAGAACTACGATATTTCAACATAGGAAAAATTGAAATGTTTGATTAACCATCTAGATATAATTAATAGTGACTTGTT